TCACCAGAATGCTGCCAAACGGCGACGGTGGCTCCGAGTCGTCGACCGCGCCCGCCTCGCAAGGCACTGCAGTTCCGAGCGCTGGGGCCCCGACGGAACTCCGCACCACCACGCTGCTGCACGGCAAGGGTGGCCCGCACTGGTCCATCACGGTGGGCTCGCAGGGCTCGACCACCACGGAGTCGGAGGCCTCGTCCTGGTCCGCACCCAGCAGCTCACACATGGATCCGTCCGGCGGGCTGAAGGCCCTGAGACTCTCGCCGTCAGCCGACGTGCTGCTGCTGCTCATCGACCCAATGCGGTGACCCGTCACGCCGCAGTGCTCCAGCTCTGGCGGGCGCGGCTTGGCGCCCTTGCTCGAGGTCAGCAGGCACCGGCTCTTCGACGTCGACAGATGCAGCCCAGGAACCAGGAACATGTTCAGGGCAGCAGGACGGAGGTTGCGGTACATGGCACGAGGCTCGCTCGCAAGAATCCCCGAGATGTATGTGGGCAAAAACGCTGGCGCAAAATCGGCTCAAGCCAAAGCGGCCCTTGAGCCAAAATGGCTACGGATTGTCGCTGGACCCCCTTTTGGGTCAACCTGAAGACCGCAGCGCAGCCCACACACACCAAGATTCGGTCGGGCAGGCCTTCCTACAAGCGGATTTTGGACGAAGAATGAAAAATACGCCGACAAAACATTCCCAAAGAGCCAGAAAATGCCCCAAAATTCGTCCCCGTAGTATTCTTTGTCTATTTTTGGATCTTCCTCCTATAGAGGGACACGCCAGTTCGGGCGCCGCGGCCTTCTGAGAGCGTTCCGGAGCGCTCTGAGAGCGTCCTGACAGGCTCTGGAACGGACTTGTCCTCTCTCTGGCCCCGTCCGAACGACGCCGACCCAAGGCCGCTCAACATCAACCCCGACCCCTCCCCGGAAGCTCCATCCTGGCCGGCTTCTCTTGAGCATATGACTGCCACGGGGCTCTGGCCAGCGGGGTGAGGTACCCGCTGCTGGCCGTGCTGCTTGCCTTCTCTCCCCTCCACCCCGCCATTCCCAGACCTTCGACGATCTGATCTTTTCAATGTACGGCTCGGCCACGCGCAAAGGTGACCCTAGGCAAGAGTGACCTTTAGTGCGCCTCTTTAAGTGGGTGCGGGGGGGGGAACCCGCTGACATCGCATAAATTGCAGCAATCGCGGGACCCCAGTGTGCCCGCACGAAAGGTCACTCTGGCGAGAGGTCACTCTCACGTGTTCCCGAGCAGTCCCCAGAAGTCCCGACCCTTTTCCCAGGGCAGGTTTTCGTCCAGATTTTTTTGTTTGGCGGTCCTGGCGCCGCAGCGCGGGCGGGCGCTCCCGCGCCGCGTCGATCGTTCAACCTTGAATCGATCGCAACCTCGATCGTTCAAGAATGACTTCAGTCGGGTCCAATGGCGAACCGTATCCATCGGTGCTTCTGAAAACCAGAATTCAGCTTTGAACGCCTTCGCCGGCGTCGCCAGCGCGCCAACGCCGCATGAACCCACCGTATGTAACCCTACAGCTGCCCTGGCCACGGCCCATCATCGGCCCAAGATCGGTGTTCGTGCCATCCTGGCTGGGCCGGCTGCTGACGTAGCTCCCGGTGCAGGGGTCCTGCCACCCGGACCGCCCGAACGGGGCCGCGGCAGACACTGGGTTGACCCAGAAGGGGGTCCAGCTGAAAGGGGGTGATGCAATAGGTTCGAGACAGTTGTTTTGCAAATGTATTGCGCCGGAGAATTGTATTGCATAGTATTGCATTGCATTGCAAGTGATGTATTGCACGCGGAAATCCAGCAATACATTTGCGGCCCGGACTGTATTGCACGCCCCGAATGTATTGCAACCCCACAAATGTATTGCACCAAATCTATTGCACCATCCCCTTGTCGCTGGACCCCCTTTAGGGTCAACCCGAAGACAGGGGCGCAGGACTGCGCCGCCATGACGACGCATCGGCGCTAGTTCGGCGGCGCGCACAAAGGGGCTGGGAGGAGGGGGGAGGGCTTCTCAGCTGGAGGCTGCTCCCCCCGCGGCCCCCTGCTGCGCGCGGCTGAAGACAGGGGCGGAGGACTGCGCCGCACTGACGACGCCTCGGCGCCAGCATCGGCGACGCCAGGCTGGAGAAGGTCGGGCCCTGGACAGATGCACCCGCACCGTCGATGCCTCGGACCATGCGGCGGCAACTTCGCGGCATCTTCCGACCCCGACTGCTCGGGCCCCAGCCAAGCGGCCTGTGGCCACGCTGCCCACCTGCAAGGCCCCATGCTCGCATGCTCGCCGCCGCGGTCCTCCACCTCGTCCGGCACGGCGGAGGCGGCAGCCGCGTCCTCGCGCGGGGCCGCCGCAAATCTAAGACGAAGCCGAGGCCAGGACGACATGGGACCGGGACAAGTCGGGGATCTCTGAGATCTGGCGGTTCTGGAGAATGTATCGGGCGCCGCGGCTAGGTGGCGACATCCGAACCCTCCACCAACTATCGATTCTCTGGAGTCGATGGGAGACAGGGATAGGGCTCGGATTTCGCCACGTGCTCGACGAATTCCGACCCTAGCCCCGCCGCCCATCGAGTTGCCCGAGTCGTTGATCGGCGACGGTAGGGTTCGGACTTCGCAGCCCAGTGGCCGTTCCAGAGCGCTCTCTGCGAGCGGTCCGCAACGCTGCGGAGCGTTTCGTCCCAGTCCTCGGCCCGCCCGACTCGGGTGGCGGGGAGGTGGCCGTCGCTGCGCCTGGGCGCGGCTCGGAGAGCGGGCCAGGGTGGACCTCGAGATGGGGCCCCTGGGAGCCAGCTTCGAGCGGAGCTCGGAGCTCGGTCTGGGGTCCCAGGCGAGCGAGTGAAGGTTGGTCAGGCACTGGCGGGTGGCCCCCTCGCCCCCAGCCTTGGCCTTGGTGTGGGTCAGTACACGCAGGTTGCGTGTACCTCTGAGCGCATGCCTGTGCTGCGCTTGCCGTGGGACGCTCGTTGCCGCTTCCGCTTGCGCTCATGCTCCCGCTCACGCCTGCGAACCCGCTACGCTTGCGTACGCGCTTCAGTCTTCATGCTTCTCGCTGCGGTTGGGTTATTTCTTTCTTTCTTTCGCTAAGCCTAGAACACGAACAGTGTTGGCCGATTGTACATGCCACGGTTGAAATACAGAGCTGCGCGGTCAACGGAATGGAGAAAGCTGACGGAAGCAAGAACTACATTCTAAACATCACGATTCCCAGTGATCTTCGTCACGGCCTGTGCTGCCTCTTCCAAAGCCAGAGCTTCAGCAGTAAATGAAGAAATAGGTGTTGCCATAAATGCCCCTGCGATCATTAAAGTCGTTGTGGTTTCGTATTGCCCACGTCGCACCACAGCTTCAATGCACCACGCTGCAGCTGAACACGAACTCGCCCTTGTGCCACCATCGGTGTGGACGATCAGGTTGCATCGTTCCAGGTCTGCCGGGTCAAATGGGAAACTTTGGTACCATGACTTTCTCTCGTCCATGGTGAAGTTCACGAGGTGGTCCGCTCGGATGTTCCAGTCGCGCCTGTGCCAGAACACAACGTCGTCGCAGTCGCGGGCCGGCCGCCAGCCAATGCACACTATGTCCCAAAAGCTCCTTGTTATACGATGCATCAGCGGTGCCAAGGACGGAGTTGTCAAGACGGTTGAGCCCATGGTGATGCCAGCAAGCGGCCGGCAGTCCGTGATGAAGATAACGCGCCCGCGGTCTCCATCCCACTTCACAGTAGGTGCTCCCGGCCCGTGGTCTCCAGGGAGATCTTCCAGCAGATGTGTATGAGTCCTTCTTCGTTTTCGTTTGGGACACTTTGGCGTAAGAATGATATTTTGCTCCGCGCTGTCGGGCTGGCAGCAGAACAACCCCCACTTCGAACACAAATGCTTCTCGAAGAAAGCGTACGTTTGCAACCATTCCGATTCCTGTCTGCACGTATCCCGCTGAAAACGCCATTCGGCGTCGAAGACGGCCACGAAAGCGTCCTCCCATTCAACTCTGTGTCCAAACCCTGCGTGTATCAGTCCTTCTTTACGACTGGCTACGCGTCGTGGCTCGACTGGCTACGCGTCGTGGCCGTTCGAAGACATAGGCCCAAGGCATGCGCGCAGGGCCAAAACCTCCGACGCGACTGGCCTCGGCTCGCGGGCCCCAGATCTCTCGACGGCTCCCCTTGGGATCGCTGTTCGTCCGGGTTGCTCAGGATGGACCCCTGGGCTCGAAGACCGTCCCAGCATGCTGAAACTGAGGATGCAAGCCTTGCGCCAGCCTAGAAAATTGTGTTCGAACGGGCCCGCTGGGGCCTTAGTTGAAGCACGAGGTGGTGGGAGGTTCCTGACATCCTCTTAATATCATCACTCCTGCCGCTTATCCGGCAGGGATTCCTCACGGTAACAGGGCCCACACAAGAGGCCGCGGGAGGCAGAAATCGAGTACACACATCTGGCGCGATGCTTCAGGAGCTCCTTCTCCTCCCCACTCTCCACTGTCCCTAGCTGGCTCCACAGGGCAGGGAAAATGAACCGTCAAACCACTTCCTGTGCTGACCAGTTCACCTCTCCCTGGGGGCAGCGCGACCCCCCCCGCGCGCACCCCGCCAACCGGCCGGGCCTGCACCGCCGCGCTGTGACGCCGACGACTGCGCCGAAGACGGCCCAACGCGGCCTCCATAGGCGTTAAACAGCTCAAGAAAAGCCCCTGAAACGGCACAGGAGGTCCGAAGAAGCCCCCGACAGTCTCCATGAGGCCCCCAAGAGGCTTCTAGGAAGCTCCCAGGGGGCCCCATAGGAGGCCTCCTCCTCCCCACTGCGGGCGCGAAGACGAGGTCGGAACCGCGACGGTAGAGAGCCGACAGTAACGACGGTGACAACGGCACTTGCGGCGGCTGCGCCAACAGCGGCCCTTGATGCCAACCGATCTGATTTCCAGCCCGCGTCCCCACAGTTGGCCCCAGGGCCCGCAGACGCCGCCCCCCGAAGAGGAGGAGGAGGAGGAGGCGGAGGACGAGGAGGACGAGGAGGAGGAGGAGGAGGAGGAGGCGGAGGAGGAGGAGGAGGAGGAGGAGGAGGAGGAGGAGGAGGAGGAGGAGGAGGAGGAGGAAGAGGAGGACACCGCGCCGACGCGACACTCAGCGAGGGCCCCGCGCCAGCCGGAGCGCGGCCGCGCATGCGAGACTCCTGCCACGGGAGCCTCTGGTGGAGCTCCCCCTGGGGCTATGCGACGGCAACGACTGGCCGACCCGAAGCCGGCCGCCGCCGCCGAGGCGGCGCGCGCCCTGCGCGCCTCGAAGGCCCTGCGCGCCAGCAGCTTCGCCGCGAGAGCTCGGCGTCGGCCCCTCCGCGCGGGGCCGCGCCGAGCGGGCTCCGCGCACGGGCGGCTCCACGCCTCGGGCTGCGGCGCCTGCCGGCTGTCGCCGCCGCCGCTGCCGATGCCGTCGCCGCCGTCGCTGTCGCCGCCACCGTCGTTGCCGCCGTCGCCGTCGCCGCGGCCGCCGTCGTGGGAGGGAAGTGTGGGGGGAGGGGGGGCCCTGAGATCCTCGCGTCGTGAACAAATATCGACGCGCATGGTTTTCTGCAGCGTTCGGCCTCCGGGGGCCCTCGCCGGGCCCTGGGACAGCCGGAGCACGGATGGGGGCGAAAAGCACGCTGTACGCTGTGAAAGATCACGACGTCGGAAGTCTGGGAAGGTAGAAGGAATATTCGAGGGCAGACCGGGGGAGGGAGGAGGGATGTGGGAAGAACAGGAAAAGAGGAAGACCTTTGACTTTGCTGGTTTGCTCTTGCGGGCGCGCCGACACGCCTCGATTACCGGGGACACTCTGAAGGTTACCACGTTGGACGCATCGTGCCACCCTTGGGAGGCAACCCTCCCCCAAGCCTTGGCAACACCTTTCTTTCAGCATTCATCTAGCCGTCAGCGGACAGGCTTCGCCAAGAAATTGGGATGGCGATGCAGGAGAGGAGGGGGATGAGGATGAGGATGCGGAGGAAGAGGATGAGGACGAGGAGACCGCCTACTTGCACAACCCCATCTGCGCATAGTCTGAGTACATACGAAACTGTAGACAACACATAAGTCAGCCCACTTCGCCCTCGCGACAACCAGCAGCCTCCACAGCAGTGGTCGAGGGACGGGTGAGCAACAGATGGACGGGGTCGGGGTTGGTATAGACCGGAGGATGAAGAGGAAGAAGAGGAGGAGGAGGAGGAGGAGGAGGAGGAGGAGGAGGGGGAGGAGGGGGAGGAGGAGGAGGAGGAGGAGGAGGAGGAGGAGGAGGAGGAGGAGGAGGAAAAGGGGGGGAGGAGGAGGAGGCGGAGGAACTGCAGGCACCCATTGTGTGTTATTGTTTTCAACTCTGGCCGCCTGGTTTCGCGGTTCGCGGCTCGCGGGCCCTTTCGCGCCGTCGCGCGGGCGCCCTTGAGAGGGACAGCCGTCGCGCCCAAGCCGCGACGCGCGAACCGCGGTTACGTCCGTGCCACTGCGCATGACCCGTACGGTGGAGGTTTGAGAGAAGGATCCCTTCGATGAGGAACCCTGCTCCCTTCCTTCCGAACGCCACTGTGGACAGGTCTCCAAGGGCTAGCAGGTGGCACATAGGCCACGGTAGCAACGGCGCCCGCTGTGGTCACTGCCCCCTGTTTCAAGCGAAAAGCGAAGGGGGCGGCCGCGCAGGCCCCTCACGCACTCCGACCACAGAATACCTACGTACAGACACACAGTGACCCACAGAGAACGGGGTGCCCGCAGACTCGTTAACGACCTTCCCAACAAAAAGCAAAAGAAAGTCAAACCTGGAACTGCACGAACTGTGGCCTCAGACATCGGATCGGCCAGCCTTTCAGAAAAAGGAGGAGGATGAGGAGGAAGAGGAGGAGGAGGAGGAAAAGGAGGAGGAGGCAGCAGCAGCGCCATTACGACAATATCTGGCATTTCTGGCACCGCCAGCGCCGTTGCGGCAAGAACTGGCATTTCCGGCACCGCCAGCGGCGTTACGACAAGAAGTTTGAGCCTGGACTGGCACCGGCAACGCCGTCACCACAAGGCCCCAAAAACCTACTCGAAGATCCCCTTGAGCTTATCGATCTTCGCCTGCAACTCTCGAGCCAATGACCCGCTCGCCTCCTGCCCCTGCTTCTCCTTGCCGCCGGTAGCGACCAGGCAAGCGACCACGAAGCGAAGAACCGGCTTGAGGCTTGAGCTCAGGCGAGACGGCCATGTGCAGCTTCACAGAGTGCTTGTCGAAGGCCTTGCAGAACTTGCACACATAGAACTGGCCAATCAACTGGTCCGGTTTTTCGATGGCACCGTGATGCGCCAACGCCTCCTTCGGGGCTTGGTACTGCTCGTCGGTCGCGATGGCGTTGATGATCCGGCACCATCACATAATCTGCTTGTGGCCTGCGTTCGACGTGTCCTCCGACTGCGCCTTGAGTTCCTTGATCCGCTCTTCGTAGCTGTGCATCTCGGTCGTGAGAACATCGGCACGCAACTACCGGACGTCGAGGTCAAGCTTGAGAGCCAACTGCGAAACAAGAGTGAAAATCTGTCGCTGCAACTTCATGATGTCCTTCTCGTCTGCGTTGGATGGGCCACTGCGCTGCGACTTCGCGCAAGGACAATCCTGCAATACCTTATCCATGAGAAGGAAAATCGGTGAAATGTGTCTGCACGTGCGTGTTGTATGCTTCCAAACTGGCGCACTCTCGGCTTCAAATTTTGCAACGAAGACAAGAATGATCAGGATCGATGGCGATATCGTGGCATGCGCCCCCCTTCCCCTCGCAACGCCCACGTGCCAATGATGCAAGAACATGGTCACGTGCCGATCGCTTGCTCGAGTATGTTTTTCTTTTGCACCACGGGCACTGGTTCGTGATAGCGGTGACTGTACCTGGATGTTTCTTTTGATGCCCTGGCTTCTTACTGCAAACCTTCTGTCTGGCCAAACCTGCAGCACCGTGAACGAATTCTCCACAAATCGTCCCATCAGGCATCCGTATGTCGCATCTGAAAAGAATTTGGTCCACGAGGCCGTCGGTAGGATCGGGAGGTGGTGGGGGAAGTACGTCAGGATCAGGATCCACATGTTGAACAACCGCCTGCACGAGAGATTCCAAAAACTCACATCTGAGAGCATCAATGTGGGCATGGCGAAACTTGTCCACGTGCATTGTGAAAACGGAAAAATACTGCTCGATGAGGAACCCAGGGTCTCGCGACCGATGGGTGGCCAAACGTGGGCCACCCACCTCGCTTTGAAAGAATAAGGAATGCTCCAAGGTCTGGGCCCCAGGAAGACGTCCATGATCCACTGCCGCCGCCGTACAAGGGCTGCGCCCGCGATCCGTCAGAACTGGTCCGCCGATCTCCCCTGGCCGGTCTGTCAAGCTGCGTCCAGACGTCGCCGTCAGGGCCCTCCCAGGAGGCCAATAGAAATACACGCATGCGCGAGGGAATGACGTCTCGACGTCGGCGCTGTCCGCAAACCCAGGAGCGGCGACCGCGAGGGATTCGGCCCCCCCTCACCGGAGCCCCAAATCTCGCCGAAATAGGCGCGCCTTCCCGAAGCGCCGACCGCACTCTTTTAGTCTTGCACTCCATCGACCGATACTTACGCCGCTGCTCACACTCACGCATCGTTGTTGGCCCTCTTTCGAAAGCGCCTCGAGGGTCCCCTGACGCACCGCACCGCAGCATGCCGCCTGCAGATATGCCTGCACATCGAGCACGTCCCCCCGTTATGCGATGCCGCCTCCGTCGCCGTTGTCGCCGAAGCGCCACCGCCGTGCACAAGCTGGAGCCTCCACACAACGATCCCCTGCCTCTTCGGAGGAGGAGGAGGAGAAGGAGGAGGAGGGGGAGGAGGAGGAAGGGTGGAGGAGGAGGAGGAGGAGGAGGAGGAGGAGAAGAAGGAGGAGGAGGAGAAGGAGAAGCGGAAGAGGAGGACAAGGAGCAGGACTTGTCCGGCTCGCGCCGACGGCGTGGTCTCGCAGCACGCCTGCCCCCCGGGCCCACGCTGCTAGCTTCTCAGCGTGAGGCCCGTCCCCCGGCGACAGCGGCGTGCCGCTGCCGTTCTTGAGCGTCCGCCCCGCCCTCTCGGCGGAGATGCGGAGCAGCGTGCCGCGCCCGTGAGGGGGCGGCAGCTCCGCGGAGGTGCGCCCGAAGGAGATCCAGCACAGGCCTCTCGGGCAGCTGCCGTCCGCCACCGTGATCTTGCGGTAGACGTTCCCGTTCGCCGCGTGCTCCTCGCGGCGGCGCGCCGAGGGGTGAAAGTGGGAGGGGGCGTGCCTTCTCAGCAGGCGGCGGGGCATCCCACAGAGGCCCCCTGGCCCTCCGAGAAGCAGCCCCTGCCTTCGGATCAGGCTCTAAGCCTCTCAGGCGGCTGGGGGCATTCTGTAGAAGAAGAAGAAGAAGAAGAAACGCCATGAAAACATAAACTTCTACTTTTGGCGCTCCGCGCGGATTTCTTGGATCTGCGCTGGACCCCCGTCCCTGGCGCGCGCAGCGCACCAGGGGCGGCGCCAGAGGCGCCGCCAGGAGAGGCCCCGCGCGGAGCCAATAATTCCACGCGGAACGTTACAAGTTTATTGATTCATAGCGTTTTTGTTTGTATGTTTATTTTTGTTTATGCTTTTGTTTTCGTCGGAGGCCTGAGAAGGCCCAGCCCCTCTGAGCTGTCCGAGAAGACCCAGTTCCTCTGCCTGCCCCCCCCCCCGGGTCTGCCGCCGATCCTCGCCGGACGTCTCCAGGACCACGGCGTACACCTCCACGGCTCCATGCGACGGCATGCAGCTCAGAACGAAGGGCTCGGGCGGCCCGATGGCGGCGTCCGTGCCGACCACCAGCTGCCAACCGCCACCGAAGGCCTTGTCCGCTGGTCTGACGTGTGTGGCGCTGCTGCTGCCAACCTCTTGGCGGGCCTACCTTTCACTACTGCCACTGCTCGGGGGTTGCTTGATGTGCCCCTGGCCCAAGGTGCCCCCTGCTTTCGCCCCATCCTTGCAGCCCCTCGGGCCCCCTGGCCCTCGTGATGGGGTGCTCTGGAGGCCGTGGGGGCCTCCTGGAAATCCTGGGGGCACCTCAGACCAGGGGTACTTCTAGCAACACACGAACCGTGGACCAGGGTCGGCTAACTTGTGGCAGCGCTCTGTTGCGAGAGGACCCAGCCGCGCCAAACAGCATTGATGCCGCTGGGTGGGCGCCACACAGTCGATTCGTGCAGCAACGTGCGTGGCCCTCTGTTTGGGACTCTCTATGCGTGGAGCCTAATCGGCGGAACTCAATGTTTGTGGAGACCTATGTGTGTGGAGCCCGATGCATGGAGTACTGTGCGTGAGGATTTGTGTGTGCTGAGCACTAAGCCCTAGGGGGACGTATGATGTGTGTGGTGTGTGTGTGATGTGTGTGTGGTGTGTAGTGTGTGTGTTGTGTGTGCAGTGCGTGTGTGTGTGTGTATGTGCGTGTGTGTTTGTGTAGTGTGCGAGTGAGTGTCGTGTGTGTACTGTGTGTGTGGAGTGTGTAGTGTGTGTAGTGTGCGTGTAGTGTGTGTGTAGTGTGTTTAGGTGTGTGTGTGTGTTGTGTAGTGAATGTGTGTAGTGTGTGTGTGTGTGTGTGCAGTGTGTGTAGTGTGTGTAGTGTGTGTGTAGTGAGTGTGGGTGGTGTTTGTAGTGTGTAGTGTGTGTAGTGTGTAGCGTGTCCGTGTGTAGTGTGTGTAGTGGTTGTGTCTGTCTGAAGTGTGTGCGTGTGTGTAGTGTGTGTAGTGTGTGCGTGTGTTTTGTGTGGGTAGTGTGTGTAGTGTTTGTGTGCGTGTACTGTTTGCGTGTGTGCAGTATGTGTATGCGCAGTATGTGTGTAGTGTGTGTAATGTGTGTAATGTGTGTACTGTGTGTGTCGTGTGTGTAGTGAGTGTGTGTAGTGTGTGTAGTGTGTGCGTAGTATGTGTAGTGTGTGTAGTGTGTGCGTGTGTGCACGTAGTGTGTGCAGTGTAGCGTGTGTAGTGTGTGTAGTGTAGTAGTGTGTTCAGTGCAGTGTGGGTAGTGTGTTTGTGTGTGGATTGTGTGTAGTGTGTGTAGTGTGTGTGTTGTATGTACTGTGTGTGTTGCGTGTGGTGTGTGTTGTCTGTGTTGTGCCGATTGCTTGTTTGTGTGTGCTGTGTGTGTTGTATGCGTTGTGTGTAATGTGTGCCTGTGTGTTACGTGTGGTGTGTGTGTTGTGTGTGGTGCAATTGCATGTATATAGGTATCTGCATACGTCTATGTGTACATACATGTTTATATGGTGTGTATATGCACAGGTATATGTATGTGTACATGTATATGCATATGCATTTGTATGTATACACGTATTTTGTGTATAGAGTGATTCAGGCTATACGTACAAGTCTATGTGTCTGTATATGTAGGTGAATACGTACATGGTATATGTATACGTGAATGTGTATGTATATGTAAATGCCTGTGTGTATGTCAATGTATACATAAATAAACACGTAAATGTAGTATGCGTGTGCGTATGTTTTGTGTATGAATATGTTTACATACGTCATTATAAAGATGTATATGTATGCATGTATACCTATGTGTGTTGGGTGTGTTGTGCGTGTTGTGTGTGTTTGTGTTCTCTTCTATGTGTGGAACCTGTGTGCGTGAGGCAGGATATACTCATGTACACGTATATGTATCGATCTGCATCTATGTAGATATTGGGAACATGCCTGGAACATGTGTATGTGTGCGTGTGCGTGTGCGTGTGTGTGTGGGTCTGTGTGGGCGTGTGAACGCTGTGTGTGCGAGTGCGTGCAACCTTGCGACTGGAACCGTACGTGCGTGGAGACCGATGTGTGGAATCCATCGCGACTGCCCGGAATCAAATGTTTGGAGCCCGTTGTGGAAACCTGTTTCTGCAACCCCCTGTGTGTGGAACACTCTGCGTGGAGACTTCTCTGTGTGTGCATGTGTGTATGTGTGTGCGTGTGTTATGTGTGTGTGTGTTTGTGTGTGTGTGTTTGTGTGTGCACGTGGATCCCCACGTGCGGTACCCAATGTCTGTAGAACCCAAATTATGTGTGGAGCCCTCTGTGTGTGTGGAGTTTTTCTACGATCTGGGCTTGTTTTTTTGTTGCGTGTGTGACCCTTTGTGCGTGGAGCCATGGGGTCCAACCCGCCACCTGGAAAAGGCATCGGACGGGGGCCAGTAGAAGGTGAAGACAAAGGGGTCCATGTGACGCCAGCCCTTGGGGGTCCAAGCAACATTGTGCGAGTGCGCCGTACAGGGCAACTGAGGAGGGGGGGGGGCGTACGCATCCACAGGGCGATATAACCATAGAGATCTACTCAGCCACTTGCGAGTGCGGCAAACAAAGTTCGTGGGAGGCTAATCCATAGAACGCCAAGCCCGTAAGGATCTAGGCAGCCACCTGTGAGAGCATTAAACAAGGCCAGTGGAGCGGACTGGTGGTACAGTTCCGCAGGACAGAAGCCACACGGATTCAAGCAACCACTTGTGAGTGCATCGAACAGGGCCAGTGAGAAGGCGTACCGTAGGAGCCCATGGAACTCCAAGCCATGGGGATCCAAGCAACCACCTGCGAGCGCGACAGACAAGGCCAGTGGGAGGGAAACCATACGGGTCCATGGGAAGCTGGGCGATAGGGGTCCGAACAGCCACAAGAACAAGCCACCAACAGGGCTAGTGAAGGGAACGCTACAGGAGCATACAACAACAAAAGCCACATGTAATCAGCCAACGGTCATCGAACAGTACGACCAGCAGGCCCCAGTCCCTCCAACGCAACTAAGAAGCCTCGCGGCAAATTCTGTTCGGGAGATTTAATCCCTGGTCCCTGGCAAATAGCGGTAGTAATTCGAAGTAGGCCCGCGACCTCTGGCCGCACTCGCATGCACAAGCGAGTGCCGGGGCGGACGGAATCGCTGTGCGTCCTTGCCGCTTCGCGGAAGAAGAACGCTGGGATCCGGTCCTCGGGCGAGTCGCCGTCGCACACCGTGGCGAAGAAGCCGGTGCCGTTCCGGAACTCCTTTTGGGTCGCTGCGTCGGGGTCGCCAGCGGCCAGGATGAATGCCGAGGCGGACGAGGTGATGATCGATAAGGGGACTGAGAAGGGTGAGAAGAAACTTAGGGGCAGGGGCGAGAGGAGGAAACGGGAGGGGCCCATTGGAACCCAAAGTCCTTTCGGCTCACGACGTGGGCCGTCAAGTACCACGCGCCGGGGTTGCGGCCCAGATGCTGGAGCTCCCGCACCTTTACGCAACGGAAAGGGGGTCCCGATGGGGAGCAGTGCTGCCCATCGTTTGGTCGATGAGGCAGCTTTCTTCAGCCCGATTGGGATAGAATGGCGCCAAGTTCTTCCAAGCAAACGCCTCGCGCGAACTGCCCAGTTCCGCACCGCCCAATGCCGCTCCCTGCGCTGCTGCCCCCCATGGGAAGCGGGTACTGCGAGCGCTGGGCCGTGAGGCTGTCTGTTCCGATGTCTCCTGGCGGTCCCTCTGCAGACCGTTGTGGGGGCGGGTTCCCCGTGGACTCCCTGAGGACGACAGCCCCAAGATCAATCACATATCATGGCCGTCCATCGTGGGCTGTTAGAGGCCTCCTAGATGGGGTCCGAGCAGATGGGGTCGGAGGATCGAGCCGCATCGCCAATGCATCGCCTACGTTTCGCCGATACATCGCGGATGCATCGGCGACGTCGGCGATGCATCGGCGACGTCGGCGTGGTTAACATCGGGCTCCACATCGAGCCGCATCGCCGATGTATCGGCGATGCGGCACGATCCTCCCACCCCGTCTACTCGGACCCCATCCAGGAGGCTTAGAGCGATGCAAACCTAAACTGATGGGGGGCGCAGCGCACCAAAAGGGGCACCATGAGCGCCACTGGGCGAACCGGACCACGAGCGGGGAGAGTGCACGACGGGGAGGCCGAACATGGCGAGCCACAACAGGACCCTGCTTCCTCAGGACGATTTCTCATCCAGCGTCTGACAGTATGTTTCCCGCTCTGTCATGGGGTGCGTTCCAACCCCAGGGCCCCCCCAAAACGACAAAACACGTCCCACCCGGAACGCCTTCCGCTCCCGCATCGTGGCCATCGCTGGCGCGGCTGCGGGCGCCGCGCTGGGCCCCGCCGCCGAGGAGGCCTCTGGTGGCCTCGGCGCGGCAGCCGCGCCGGCCGCCGCTAGCGAGGAGGTCTCCGACGGCCTCGGCGCGGCCGCCGCGCCGGCCGCCGCCAGGGAGGAGGCCTCTGGCGGCCTCGGCGCGGCCGCCGCCGGCGGGGAGGCCGCGCCCTGGGCGGGCGCCTCTGGCGGCTGCTGCGGCGCCGCCACCGCCTCTTGGGGTGCTCTAGGGCCGTCTTGGAGGCCATCTTGGGAGGAGAAAGAGGAGGAGGAGGAGGAGGAGAAGGAGGAGGAGGAGGAGGAGGAGGAGGAGGAGGAGGAGGAGAAGGAGGAGGAGGAGGAGGAGGAGGAGGAGGAGGAGGAGGAGGAGGAGGAGGAGGGAGGAGGAGGAGGGAGGAGGAGGGAGGAGGAGGGGGAGGAGGGGTCTTGGAGGCCTCTTGGGCCCTCTTGGGTCTGCCTTGGGGGCCTCTCTTGGCCTGCGAGATCCCGCGGCCTACGCTTGGCGGCCTCAAGGGCTCCCGCCTGCCTGTGGGCGCTCCGGCGCCGCCGCGGGGGCCGGCGCCTCCCGCGGCTGCGGCTCCTCGGCGGTGGTCGCCCGCTCCCGCGCGGGGGGAGGTCTGGGAGATTCGGGCTCGAAGCTGACCTCCCCAGACCCCCTCGCGCCATGAGCAAAATCGCGGCGGGAGGTTTCTTGCGGTTTTCGGCCCCTGGGGGCCCCAGGAGCGTAACAGAAACGACTCAGGATGAAAAACCGGTCCAGGGGAAGGGGTCCAGACATTTGGGGGTCGACCTTGCGAACGAGTGTCGCCTCCCAGGGCCCGACACGTGAAAACCCTCCAGATTCGGTACTTCCTTGGTGCTCGGAATCCTTTCTGGTGATCAAGGCTCAAGTAGGCTGGAACATCATAAACCTTACGTCGGGCATGTCCTCCTACAGGCGGATTTTGGAAGGACAATGAGAAGCAATCGAACATATCTCAAAACGACTCAAACCAGTAATGGGGACATCGTCTCCCGGCTAGAATATTCCTCCTGTAGAGGGACATGCCCGCCTTAAACCAATTTAAACAAATCTTTAGAGCCTCCCTCTCCAATAGGGTGTACAGTCGGCCCGCATCATAAGAATGCGCGATCAGGGTGCAAGGGCCTTGGAGGGCAATCTCGAAGCTTTGCGAGCGGGGCGCGGCCAACGAAGTTGGCCAAGGATGGACCGAGGAGGCAAGGATGCAAGGGTACTGTACCCTTGGGAAGGTGGCCCATCCTTACTATGCGGGTTGACTGCAAGTCTTTAGAACCCCCCCGCCAATAGGGGGTAACTAATTCATTTGTCGGCGGCCTTCTTCACGGACTGGTGGTCCACCAGTGGCCCACCAATAGCCAATAGCGGAAGCCAACGAAGCTACAGTAGGAGATCGACCACAAGAAACCTTCCACAAGAAACCTAACCCTGAGACCCCAGGACGTCCATTGATTCGTGGTGTGGGACTGTTGCGCTTTCCATCGTAAAACCATCCACAAACCTAAGAAACCCAGGGCACCCTGGAGGCAAGCAGGGTGCTGAAAGGTTCTCGGTGTCTTCGGGGGATGCTCAGAACACTTCTCAGAAGGCCGTGGGACTTCCGAGTCGTCTGAGAAGGCCCGCCCCCTCCAACTTCCCTGGGCTCGCCGCCGACAAGAAGCCATTCCAAGGCTAGCTGGGGCTACCCGTGGCCATGCCGGGGCCATCCGAGGCCACCTGGGCGCCGAAGACTACCGAGCGTCTCGGGGCAGAGGAGGCCCCCCGCAGACCCCACAGACTGAAAGCCTTGGCATGAACAGGCCAGGCCGCGAGGGAAACGGGTCCTGGGCCACGGGGCTCCCCCCCTTAGGCCCTAGGACCGATTCTTCATCCCGGACCCCCTTACGCCGGTCCCGGGGCCTGTGCAGGGCCCCGGCCAGGCGAAAGACAATACGAGACGTCAGGAACCAGTTCCCTCAGATCCGTTCCCAAACATGGGACGCTCTGATTGCTTCAATGCGCGGTCCCCGGAAGTCCCGAGCCTTTCCCCGGGGCCAATTTTTCAACCCGAATTGCTCTCTGACGCTCCCGGAGCCCAGCGAGGCCCCCCGGAGGCCGAGCCACTGGCAACAACCTCCCGTCCTGGTCTCTTCACGACGCGAGCATGTCTGGGCTTCCTTCGCGGCGCAAGCAGGCGCTCGCAGCCCACCCGCCCCGCTGCGCAACACGACACCCATAGGGTCTTGACGCGGAGCTCAGCACCCGGACTGAACAAATGTGGGTCTGGCGCGATGCGTTATCGCCAGCACGTGGGCCAGCACGCGCCGAGCCAACACCGCAGCGTGTTAACGCGGACGTCCTGAGCAAGGCACGCGCTGCGTTTCACCACGGGCGCATCAGGGCAGCTAAGGCTCACAGCTGCCGGCTACTGTTAGGTCGGGCATGTCCTCCTAGAGGCGGATTTTGGACAAGAAAACGAATTAAACAGAGTCAACCATCAAAAGGGGTCAGAGGAGCACGGAACATCGCCACCAGAATTCTCTTCTACTACTCTTGCGCACTCCTCCTGTGGAGGGACATTCCCGACCTATGGCCACAGCGACACCATTAAATTTTGAGCCGACACAGGAGCAGACCAATAAGGAGGTGACCGTCAACCTCAACGTGATGACCTTCAACGTGCGCAACTTCGAGGAAACCGACCCATGCCAGCCGAGCACAGTCGAGGAAGGTCACAAGGCGAATCCAGAGGAGGAGGGAAAATAGAAGAAGAAAAAACGGCATACACACAAACTGTTGGCGCTCCGCGCTGAATTCTTGGATCTTGACTGGAACCCGCTCCCTGGCGCGCGGAGCGCGCCAGAGGCGGCACCGGAGGCGCTGCTGGGGGGACCCATGCGCCGATCCAAGACAAAAGCGCGGAGCGCCAAAAGTTTAGGCTCGTGGCGATTGTCCTTCTTCTTCGAGAAAAATGCTTCCTGCTGCAATCCGGGCGGGGCGCCCGGCGCAGGCTGCGCCGCCGGCCCAGTGGGCGGCGCCTAGAGGCCTCCCAGATGGAATCGGAACAGATGGGGTCGGAGGATCGCGCCGCATCGGCAATGCATCGGCGATGCGCCAGCAATGCACCGTCGACGTCGGCGACGCTTCAACGACGTTGGCGTGGAACACATCGGGCTCCACATCGAGCCGCATCGCCGATGCATCGCCGATGCGGCGCGATCCTCCGACACCACCTACACCGACCCCATGCAGAAGGCTTAGAGTTAGGTCGGGCACGCCCTCCTGCGGGCGGACTTTGGACGAAAAAATTCAAAGATCCGAAGCATATTCAAAAATGGTCAAACATAGTAGAGATCGTCCCCAGACTACTGTTTGACTCTTTCGATTGCTCCTTCTTTCGACGGACATGCCCGACTTAAATCTACTCCGGCCCCATCCAGGAGGCTTAGAGTTAGGTCGGGCATGTCCTCCTACAGGCGGCTTCTGGAGGGCAGATAACAACTAGTCAAAACAACATATTAAGAAGTACTCCACAAACAGATCCAACGCACCGCTCCCAGACTATGCTTCGATTATCTTTGAACGCTCCTTCTTTGGAGGGCCATGTCCGACTTACCTCCCCTCCGACCCCATCCGCGAGGCTTCGAGCATCCGTGCCGCCGCTGCGGGCGCCGCGGGCGGCGGCGCGGCCGCGGCGGCGGCCTGGTCGGCTGGCGGCGGCGGCGCGGGGCGCGGAGGCGCCACGCAGCCGCAGCTGGCCAGGAGGTGCCGCAGCTGGGGCCACAGGGGCTCCGGGGTGACCTGGTGAGCGCTCTTGCATTGGGCGTTGCGACATGGGGCGGAGCGGCAAGGGGTGGGGAGGGGAGGGGGGGGATCTGGCTCTCATCGGGGGGACCTTGCCAGGGCTCGAGATCGATACTCGTGGGCGTTTTTTGCTCCGGCGTTGCGACATTGGGCGGCAAGGGGGGGGGAGGGGAGGGGGGGGGGATCTGGCTCTGGACCTCTGCTTATAGTGCGGCTGCTCAGCGGGGTGACAGGGCTCGAGATCGACACTCGTGGGCTTTTTCTTCCGGCGTTGCGACATTGGGCGGCAAGGGGGGGGGGGGAGAGGGTCTGGCTCTGGACCTCTGCTTAGTGCGGCTGTCTGGACCAGTGCGTCCTATGAGGGGAGACTCCGCCTGCTCGAAACAGGCGCCCAATAACAGCCAAGATCCACTCCATGGGGGGGCGGGGAGGGGGGGGGGGGGCGAAGGCCCGCTCCGATCGGCAAAACAAGGAATGAAAAAGATCACAGATCGAAGCTCTCAGCGGTGCGTCTCGTGTTCGTTATGTTGTCGTTGTCCCTCGTGTTTGTGTTGTCTTCCCTTCGCCCTTGTGTTGCCAAAGCGTAGTCGAGACGAAAACGGCCTACGGAATCGCCCCCAAACACCGTCTAGGTTGACCCCTGGACCTTTTCTTGCTTTCGTTATGCTTTCGTTTTCCCTCGCTCTGTCATCCCTTCTCCTCTTTTTTGCTGCAAGAGCGAGGTCGAGACGAAGACGGCCCACGAGATCGCCAGTCAAACACCGTTTGGGCTGACCCCTGGACCTTTCAGACCTGGACCTCCGAGGGTCCGACCCTGGGGCGTCGCTCCTGGGGGTGTGGGGCGAGGAGAGGGGGGGGGGAAGGCCGGGTGCACTTCTCGGGCCCTCCCAAAAAAGGCCCCCGATTGGGCCCGAAAAGGGCCCCTCTGGGAGCCCCGAGGGGCCCCTTTTCTGCAGCCCTCGCTGCCCCCCCACCAGGCATCGCCCCCCTCAACCCCCCTTCCCATTGCGTGACGCCAGCGACGATGCGATTCTTTCCATCCGGTCGTCTCTCCTTCACCTCTGGCCTCGATCTAGGGCCCGCGATCGTCGGCCCCGCAGGGCCATGGACACTGATCCGGTGCGGAAGACTGCCCCCGCGGGAGCCGCGGATTGGAAACCCAGGGAGGGTGTCTGGCAAGAAGAACCCGGACATGCTACGCTCTGATTGTTTCAATGCGCGGCCCTCAGAAGTTCCGACCCTTTCCCCTGTGCTAGATTTTCATCCGCAATCGCTTTCTGACGCTCCCGGGGCCCTTAAGGGCCCCCGGAGGCTGAGAATGGCCCAAAGCCTTGCGTCGTGATATTTCTGGACAGGACACCTGAGAGCACACGAGACTCTTCCGACGGCAACGTGGCCCCAGAACACCACATGACATGCGGATTGCATAGGCCGGGGTAGACAGGACACAAGGGTACCCTCGATTCGGCATGGTCGACCTACCAATCAGGGCCGACTGTTTCTTTCTTCTACCCGCCCAACCTTGTAGAGTCCGCTGACGCTTACGCCAGTGTGCCTCGCGAGCCCAACGGACAACGCCATGAGTCCTCTCCATCCCGACAAGAGGAGGGACTGCTTCATCTTCAGCCAGCGCTCAATGAACATATCTAGGATCCTTGAAGCATTCTCCGAACGTGCCTGGGCATTCGCTGCAGCGATCGTACCGAAGGCCAGCGATAGCTTCAAGAGGCTCCAGGTACGCTGGGGACGGAGGCTGCGCTTCGCATCCTCCAGACTTGCAACCTCCTGCATGGCTTGCTGCATAACTTCCAGATCGAAGGGCTCGTCGTCGAGGTCTGTGGTGGCCTGCAGGAAAAGCTCCCCAACAATAAAAAACACGCCCCCTATGCTCGGAGCGTGCTTGCAGAGATCGGCGTCGCGCAACTCACATACCAATACCAACCTTGCCAATGTGATGCGCAATCGCTCTCCAGCTTCCTGCAAGGTGGCTTGGGCGAGTCGCAAGAGTGCCCGGCCAAAATTCACAAAGGGGTTCTTCTCGCTGAACTGCGACGCTATAGCGAAAAGCCACATCTCGTCCTCAGGAAACCGTATAAATACAGACATTCGGAAGTCCGCGCGAATTTCTCGGGTCGGCGCTGGACCCCCTTCACCATGCACGCCCCCCCGGCGCGCGGAGCGCGGCCGGGGCGGCGCCTGAGGCGCTGCCTTGGGTGTGAGAAGGGTCCAACGCCGACCAAAGATACCGTACGGACATCCACAAGTTTATTCTCCATCAGAAAGGTAGGTCGACTAAATGCTAAGAAGGTTTGCCAGCGTGTGCGCCAACCAATGTGTTATTGCACCCTTGTAACTCATGTGGCGCAATGTCTGTGGCGCAATCTTCTTGGTGCAAGCTACTCAGTGAAATCTAGAAGGACCGCGCTATGTGGCACAACCCATGCAGTGCAAGCCGTGTGGCGCAACCCATGGTGTGCAGAGTGTGGTGCAGTGTATCTGCTGCGCGCTGTATGGTGCAATCAATGCGGTGAACCCTACCCAGACCCCCGACGTCATGACTTTTTCATACGTCGACTCCGGAGGTCTCGACCCACTCTCCGGGACGGGTTCTTCATCCTGAGCCGTTTGTCTGACGGCCCCGAGGGCCGGTTACAGGGCCTCCAAAGGCCGAAAACCAGGGAAAACCTCCCGTCAGGATTTCTTCATTGCCCGCGGGGGCCTGGGCATGTGGTGCAAGCTGTGCCGTGCAGCCTATACAGCAGGCCCCGCGTGGCGCCCACGACTGGCCACCGACTGGGCACCCGAGGCGGGCACCTCGGCGGGGCCCACCCGGCGCACGCGGTGCCCACGGGGCGCCCAGGCTGGCCACCGCCGGCGGGGCACTGCGTGACACCCGGGGCGGAGCGCAGGAAACGCCCACGAGGCGCTCTCACTCTGGACGCCCGAAATAAGTACGGAAAAATGGGCACGATGCCCAGCAACAGATGTTGTCCAGCACCGACAGCGGCCGCTGTTGGGCGGGCGGCTTTTTGTCCTCAAAAAACAACGTCCGCGGCGGCGCGGACAGCGAGTCCAATTCAAAATGTACAGAAACTGATGTTGGGCATCGTACCATTTTTTCCGTACCCACTTCGATTGTCCCGACTCACGACCGGGCACCACTCGGACACCCAAGGAACCCTGGTGCCAAGACCCCCTCGTGCCGTGAAAAAATCATGACGGGTGCTTGTGTTCCATATTTTCGCCCTCTGGAGGCCCTTGTACGGGCCCTCGGGACCATCAAGAAACGACTCGGGACGGGAAGCCAGTCCTGGGGAATGGGTCGAGACCCCTGGGCCCCTGAGGGTCGACGTTATGAAAAAATCATGGCGTCGGGGGCCTGGGTATGGCTCCACCCAGTGCACGGGGGGCTCGCGGGGCGCCGACGATCGGCTGCCAACTGAGCGACAATCAAGACAACGGGTCTTGCGCGAGACGACAGGGCGACCTTACGCGGTGGCTTACGCGGGCCGCCAGCGCGGCACGCGACGCTACGCTTGAAGCGAGGGCGCTTGCGCGCGAGCTTACGCGGGCAGCTCACGCGCCGATGTCGGCGCAGACGACCCCCGGTTTCTTGCGTCGCCCAACTGGGCACCAGGCGAAAGCCCGGCGGACGCACCCAGCACACGTGGCGCCCACAGGGCGCCCACGACCGGTCCGCAACGGGGCACGCAGGCGAAATCTGGGCGGGCCCATCCAACATACTTTTGGATGGGTCCGCCAGGCGACAACAAAAGAAGCCTATACGCAAGTGCAAGCACCTTTTGGGGAGAGGGCTCCCGCCAGATGCTTCGCGTCGCCCGCCCTGAATACCGCGGTTGCCATGCCACAGTATTCCCCGAGTGCCTCTGACCTCCACACATGACGGCAGAACAAACGTACATTACACCGAGGAAAGCCTCCTTCAATTAACGTGGTCGTAAAACCTTTCTCTCTCTCTCTCTCTCTCCGTTTCTATGTGTGTTACTACCTTGTTCCCCAATCAGTGCTTGCACTCAAGGGTTCCTAGCGGAGATTGAAACGTTTGGCGAAAATTCCGGGCCGATTTCGGTAGGCGGCCGGGTTCCCCGGTTCCTGGTTCCCGGTTCCTGAGTTCCTGGTTCTGGGTTCCTGGGTTCCCGGTTCCGGGGCAGAGCGGCGGGGTTCCCGGCTTCACGGGTTCCTGGTCGATCTTCTCATCGATCGGTCTCACCATCGATCTCATTACCCACCTCTCTATCGATCTCACGATCGATCTCACAATCGATCTCACTATCGATCTCACCATCGATCTCACTATAGATCGCACGAGCGATCTCATGATCGATCTCACTATCGATCTCATTGAACCGACTTCACTATCGGTTTCACGGTCGACCTTAGAATCGTTCACTGATTGGGCTTTTCTCTGGTGTAATGTTCTACTTCTACGGTATGAAGTCGCTCTGCCCTCTATTCTCGAATCCGTACTCTCTATCCTGAAAGAAATCGAGACCTGAGGGACCTGAGCGTATCGGGAACCTTGGTCGTGCAACCCGGGAACCGGGCCGCCCACCGAAATCGGGAACCCAGAACCAAGAACCGGGAAACCGGGAACCTGGCCGCCTATAACAACATCGGCATGAAACCTTTTATGTTGTCTGCCGGTCTCCGCTAGGACCCCTTCAGTGCAAGCATTGATTACGGAAATCTCTCCCTCTTTGTCAGTCACTCTGTGCTTCTCTGTGCTCAACAATGCTCTCTCATATCGGAAATGTGCCGATTTCTCTCTTAGCAAAGACCTGGGGAATTTGTCCGCAACAGAGAACTCAAGGGCCCAAAAACATTCTATTGCTAGGGACGGGATCCAGAACGGGGAATCCTATCCAAGGCTGGGCAGCGAAAACTCCTGGAATCGAGACCGGGGAACCCAAGAACCCGGCCGCTTCCCGAAATCAATCAGAAACCATGACCTGCACTTTTAATATCCGTGAGGACCCCTGTAGTGCAGACGGAGAGAGTGAACACATGCATAAGAAACACATGCCAAGCACCTACATCAGGAAACTGCGTGAACGGGAAACCTGACCAGAAAAGAGCGGGAAACGTTGCTGCTGTCTCCTCGGATGGTGAGGCGAAGAAGGAGCCAAGGAAACGGAGGACGACAAAAAGAAGTGGGTGAGGAGGTTGTCATAATGGAGGACGAGGGGAAAGCGAGGAGGACCAGAAGACAGCGAGCACAGGAGTCCAGTCCACGGCGGGACTTGGGGGCGCGACGGCGGGGGCGGCTGCTCCTCGGGAGGTGCCGAGAACGTAGCCGCCATCGCGCGGAGGTGCGAAATCTGACGCCCCGCAGCCGCCGTGATGGCGCGATGGGGCCTTGCGGAGAGCGTGCTCGCAGCGCCTGGCGCCGTGGCGTGCCGTTGCCGCAAGTGCAGTGCGTCCGTGGGATGCTAAGCACCGCGCCGCCAGCAGGAGGGATGCATGGCACCGCACCTCCGAGCGTACCCTCAGGAGGGAGGGACGGGATCGCCGACGCTGCACCTTCGCATGCAGGGCCAGGCACGCTGAGCGAGAGGAGGACCAGAAGGACTGACTACCAGGAGGAACACAAGCATAAGGAAGTTAGGCACGAAGGCGAGGAGAAACAGCACGGAAAGGAGGACGGAGGAGGAGGAGGAGGAGCCCCACACCCGTTAGCGCAGCAGAGAGTGCACTCCAAGATGGCGAAAGGGGCAGCAGCGGGCGCGGCCTCGAACTGCTTGGAGTGCGAAAGCCCTATCCTGCCCTCCCCGCCTGCGGCATTGGTTGAAAGCGGAAAATAAGATATCAAGTGCGACAGCACTGGCATGCATGAACTCACTCGCTCTAGGGGTGTGCTCAAAATATGGCCAGAGATGAGGAAGAAAGTTTAAGGGCGCAACATACCCCCACTCAGGAGGGAGCGACGGGAGGAGCTCCCTCATGAGGGGGATCACAACTGGACAAGTGACATAATGAGATATTATCGGCCCCTAAATTGCAGCACCCGAAAACGCAAGGCCCAATAGCCTGTCTGAAACGCTTTGTAGTTGGCCAAGCATTGAACACGGCTTTTAGAAGGGATGTAATAATAAAACTGGGCAGCCTCCTAGCTAGAACATTAAGCTTCAGAACAGTCAGTTGGGCATCATGGGGTGCAGCATGAGGAAGCCAATAGCGAAGACGAGCAAGGACAAGATGATTGATGAAGTGATGGGGCTGATGTCGAACGATAAACTTCGTGATCGTCCTCTGCAGCTTTTTCGGGGGCACGTGGATCGGGGCATCTGGGATCCTGATGCACTGGCTATACACGATAAGCATGTCCCAGAAGAGAGAATTCAGGGAGAGCGGGCTCCACTTAAACGTTAGAGTCCTGTTGTCGTCTTCCTGAGCAGCATAATACATCGAGCGCGTAGCATGGAACTCTTCCGAGCGGATGGCACAGCGTAGCGTGGACGCACGACAGAGGGTTTCCATAGAGCGGCACTGCGCAGGAAGACCTAATTCTTTGAGATGGAACATGGCCGCGGGAGGAAAGGCATGTCGTGGCGCACGAGGTAGCTGTTGATGCGCCTCTCGCTCTGCACGAACGAGTTCTTTGGAAGGCAGGTAGAACTGACCTACGTGCGATGTGACAGGGACGACGTACGTGTTGAAAGCCTGCACGGACTGGATGAAACTCAGCCCCAGACTCCGCGCGTCCTCTGTTCGGCTCCTAATTGTCACACCGACAGGCTGCCATGCATCAAGGGAACCTTGCTCACCCACCAGAACTCCCAGGAGTTCGCCAGACCTCCGAACCTGATAATGAGAAACATCAAGACCCCGACCACGAAAAGCCTCCAGGACATCCAATTTTCTCCTCCATATTCAAGACCACAATGACACATTTCTTATAGTTTAGCGTGAGCCCTGTTACCTTACCTGACAGCACGAGCCGCACCAACACCTGCGGCAAGGCCTTGCAGAGGTTGCGAGCGACTAGGTATATGTCGTCGGCGAAGGCGCCGTTCTGCTGCTGTAATACGTAGCGGGGCACAGGATCCAGCACAAGCGCG